ACATTTGGAATATTTTTTAAGTTTTTGAAATTCAATTTTGGGCGTGCTAACGGCATGCCGGATCACTAGTTATTATTACTTAACTATCTATCAAAATTTGTTTTGGTTAACTAAAACTGTTTATACAATGAAAATCAAAAAAAACTTAACTAAAATATAATTACATACCAGAGGATGAAGGTTCAGTTGCCAAATAACACCAGCAAACAATTTACTTTAGTGAGAAACTATTTTAAACTTGCGTGTATGCAAATCGTTAATACTGAATAGCTCAGCCTGCAAGACGTAAGTTTGTTTCACACTAGAAACGAGCTGTGTTTTTTATGAGTCATTTAGAAATTGTTAAACAGTACCTTATTTACTACTTTAATTAAATAAGCAATATGGCGAAGGTATCCTGAAATAAATATTTTCTTTTTAAATTTTCGGCAGTTTTTGAGGCTGCCCTCTTGTTCCTATGTATGTATGTATAGTTTTTTTTTTGTAAGTAATTTACAATTCCAACATGAACTTATTTCAGGTGTTTTTATTTACATATGCAAGGCATTTACGAATTCGTGTCCCAAACTTTTTGCTTCATTTGTTCATATTCTTCGATTTGCCGTTTGTTGTTTGTTTCGAAAAAACTGGTACAATAGCTTCATTAAGGTCTTAAATCGTTTTTTCCTGGTTGACAACGTAGCACATCAGCAGTTCTTGCACGAACTCAATACATGCATGCGAGTGGAATGGTTGAGATGTTGTAAAGCAAATTAAGCTAAGAAATACGAATATCAACACAAATGTCGGAAAAATTCGAACAACGAAAAAGGCAGGACAAAAACTTGCTTTAATAAAAGAAAATCACACACTTAGTGACGACTGAATACAATTGCCAAATTTAATAGGAAAATCAAATTTTAAAGCGAAAAAAGCTAACACAAAAAAAAATCGAGGAAGGGGGTGCTAAATCTAAATAATGCATATATTATTAAACATACATGCATACAATCACAATTACACACACACACACATACACCTCCACCGCTACTTAAAAGCCCACACAACTCCCGCACGCTATTAGAGAGCCACCGCCACCGCACCATCGCATTGCAGATACCGTAAGGTAAGTTCTACTTTTTCGCATGAGCGTTCTGTGCTTGTTAAGCTAGTTACAGATTTTACGCCTAAAAATATGTTTCAGCATTTAATTTGAAATGCTAATTTCACAGCACATGAATACAGTAAAGTGCTCATACATAGTACATGTGTACCACTTCCATACATATACCTGCACGTTGTGGCTGCGGTTAGTTCAAAAAGAAGCACGAAAAGTAGAACATACATGACCGAAAACAACTGCAAAGCGAAAATACGTACATAACTGCCGGCAACAGATTTCACCCATAAAAACCGCTAACAGCGGTAAAATTTGTGCACGGTATGTATGTATATGTATGTGTGTTGGTGCATACATATGCATTAGACTGCATCGCCAAAAAAAGTTGCGGCTTTTCCGCCGGGATTACAAAATTTATTATATTTGAAGACGTCCAACAAAATATTTCGGAAAAATATTTAATATTTACGTGAGCTGAAACGATTTGAAAATACCTCCAAAAATGGAGTGTTTTTTTTTATGAATAAAAATCAGGTAATCTCAACATTTTTCCGAAATATTTTGGTGGACGTCTTAAAATACAATAGCTTTTATAATTCCAATGGAAACACAGTCCCAATTTATTTTTTTTTTGTGTAGGGAGTGATGCAGTCTAATATGCCTGTATGTAGGTATTGTAAAAAGTGTATAAAAAAATAACAAGCAACTACAATCGTTCCGCTTGGCATAACATTTAAAAAGTAATTTTTATTATTAACATTTATTTTGCTTGTGTATGAATGTTCGTATTTGAATGTATGTACTTGTGCAATGTGCAACACGTGCCACCTAGGCTGTAAAGTGTTTGTTAGCCGGATAACAGTTTTTTAGTAGTATGGCTGCGCTTTGCGCTACAGTTTATATTGTATATATAAACATATACATATGGCAAATCGTACAAAAAGAAAACGCGGCATTCTAAAATATTCGGAAAAGTGCTGCAAATCGTACGATTTGATATAGGTAATTTCGTATATAATTAAAGCAAGTAATAAAATTATAGTTACGAAAGGATTCGTCAGCACTCTCTCGGACGTTACAACTGCAGCTGTTCGCGTGGCCTCAAACTCCGATTATCTAACAACTGCTTCTACACAAAGAAGCTGCATGCATGTATTCTTTAGAAGATATCAGGGTTGGGAATATGTGGAATTTCTGATTGCATGACTAAAGGAATCTGCTTTGGCAAAAAGTTTTATGTGAAAATCCTCGATCGCAAACATTTGGAAAATGGGCTCCTTGCACTTGATCACAGATATATGTATACGTACACGGGTATACAGACGGTTGAAGGTTGGAGGACAGAGTTGGTGCGCAATGAAAACATGGACCTGCCTTTAAAAGCTCAAAGCAAAGCAGAAATCTATTGCCTGGGCCTTCCAAAGTGAGCAAGGCCCGACAAATACTCGTCTGAAAAACTTAACCGTTAGGTTAAGTTAAGCGGGCAGCTCTGAAAAAAGTTCACTTGGAGGCCACAAAGGCTCATTGCGATGCCCAGGGAGTTTCCCATGGCTACCCCTATACGTCTTTGAACCATCCTGACTCCCTATCGAGTCTTAGCAGTTATTCCAGTGGGGCTTTTCCTTAGATATGTAGGCTACCGAAGAAGTGGTCACCAAAAAAATTTGACTCGTTTTCCTCTGAGTGCTGATCATTCGCAGAGGAAGCGGATTCTATCCTCTCCTCATCTCTGCAGCTTATGCATAAATGGTTATACGGCCATGGTCCAGTATCCCGTTAGTACTCCTGTGAGAAGCCTAACGCCTTAATAAAGCCCGTGCTCTTCATTTGTCGAGTCGTGGCCAGAGCGAGGGCGATACCATGCAGGTGTGTAGATTATTCCATATAATAATGGTGGCTGCCTGATCACTTTCTCAACTTCTGAAGACAGAAATCGCAGCGGAGGTTTTACTATCTAGAGACCGCTTCCCTAAGTCCCATTTCAGATCACTTTCAAGCACATTCATCCGTTATCTCACTTTACGGAACACCACTATGCCCCGGACTCAGTCCGCAAAGATGCTTGCCCCAATTTAATGATATCCAGAGGAGGGCAGGGTTCGAATTCCATTGCAGGCAACATGCAAATTAAATTTTGTTTTTGTTTTTATCTTGATTATCACTTCACTTCATTCAGTGTACTATTGGTATATGGATTAAAGCTTTGGGTCAAACGGCAAGGCTGGTAAAAGGTTTGAAGTAAGAGCAAACCGTAAAGCTGGGTTCCCTCAAAAGGCCTAATGATTCTTCAATGGAGACTATGATTGAGAATTTCTCTTCTAGAGAATTACTTTCCTGGAAATCAGTTGATGGTAACGCCTTCCTCTCTTTCGACTAGAGAAGGAGAGAGTGCGAGAGCCATTGTGCCAAGTTGTTGACATTAAGGGCTCTTTTGGAACCATTCGTCTAAAATCAATTTCGGGCCTACAAAATTGCGAAAATAGGTTTCGTTCATTTAGAATTTTGCTGTAGTACCGTAAGAGGGCGCAAAAGTGAAATTTTTCACATTTTGTTACATGTTAAAATAAAAAAAAAACCCAAACGTTTTACTTATCCTTGAAAATTGTTTTCCATACAACTAAAATTCAATACAACCTACAGGCATACACATGTATATATGTATGTAGGTATGTACATTAGACTGCATCACAAAAAAAGTTGCGGTTTCTCTGCCGGGATTACAAAACGTTTTATATTTGAAGACGTCCCCAACATACTTCTAAAAAATAATAAATAAAATAGTGTCTTAAAGAACGTTTTGGAAAAAACCCCTCTTCAGATGACAAAAAACTTAAGCTTAAAAAATCTGCATACAAATATTTAAAAATATTTTCAACGGAATCGTAATAATGACATTTTTGATGCTGTTTTTTTTAACTTTTTTCAAAGATTTGTTTAATAAAAATTTGAATAACTGGGCCAAAGCTATTCCGACTTAGACTATTGAGGTATCAGTGGAAAGGCATTTTCCCATTAGTTTTATTTCTGTGCAAAAGAAAACTCATTTGAGCACTTCTTTACGAGACTACAGCAAAGTCCTTAGTAAAAGAAAACTATTTTCGCAATTTGGCAAGCTCCAAATTGATTTTAGACCCATAGTTTCTTTGGCAAGTTTGATTAGAATTACTCGTAAAATCCTCCTATGATATACGCCTATGGTTGAAAAAATTTTCCATACAAATTGACCCGTCCTACTGTCTAGTCACGGCCCCATCTCTGCCGGCAGTTTGCAGGAAAGCGCAGACAATACAGGATATGATTGACAATTGGTGTGATGGAAATTGACTCACCGCTAACCCAACCAAAACTAGTGTTGTGCTCTTGGTAAGGAGAAGAACTTTGGATGGTCTCATTCCCTTCACCCTTCAAGGAGTCACAATTCAGACTTCTCCCGAACTGAAGTTTCTAGGAGTATTTCTGGATACAAAACTATCGTGGACATCTCAGGTGGAATACAAGACCTCCAAATCATTGGCAGCATTTTGGAAAAACTAGATGACAACTCCATTTGCCCATCCTGCCTTGAAGAGTATGAGATGGTGGAACACCTTTTGTGCTTCCGCCCCGCCTCTGCAAGAATTAGATAGCAGACATCTTGGTCGCGATGTGCTCTTTGACACCCAACAATCTGCTTAGGTTTATTCGTAAATCGACAGACACTGAAATGGACGGCATCTAGTCAGAGTGCTGTTTACCGCAAGCGTTGTTTTGTTTGGCCGGTCTATGGGTGAAATTTGTAGGAGAGTTTCTTGCGCCGCCTAGGGCATTGAGGAGACCACACTAATGTACTTACATACTATTTACACAGATCCTAATAATAACCACAAGTTGATTTGATTTTAAATAATTTTTGTGTTTTATTTGTAATTTCTTTTAAAGATATACATCAATCTTTCGTATTTAAATATATAATGATTACTTAAGTATAAAACACACTCAATTATGCCTCTTAAATGTTTGAGCATGGGTGTATGCATGTTTCTGTAAATATGCTATAATTTTTACTACGTACATAAATTAGCGAGACAGAAATCATCACTTATTACCTCCAGCGATTTAAAAAATAAAAAATAATAAATAATTTTAATACGTAGATAGTGTTTCAATATGATATCAACTTAAATGATAACAAATTATATTTAGTAGTGTGTGCTTCCATATTACAAACAATATTAAAATCAAAAATTACACAAAAAAAAATCTAATTTATTTTAACAATAATTTGCATAGAAAAAGTAATTCGTAACTTAAATTTAATAGCGTACAAATTAATAGAGCTGCATGTCGCACATCAATCTCGAATCCAAGGGGAGTGGCCACACAAACTTTACATTCTGGCGAGCGTGGGTGTGGGGCATGCTGCTGCGGATGCGGATGAGGATGATTCGTGATTAAGGCACAACAAAGACAATTGGCATCTACCATCCGTTTGGTCGAACGGTACTAAGTACTTCATAGAATTAATATAATTTATTTAAACTTAAGTGCTAAATGTTCGAATTTAAAATGAAACATTTTCGAGAAAAAAAATTACAAATAAAATTTCACTAAAAATGCGCCCGACATATTAACGAAAATGCTCATTTAAAAAAAAAAATGCTAGTTTGGCTTATGTTCGCATTTATGCAAACAAATGCGGCTGCGGCAGACGCATATGTATGTGGATATTCACGTGCAAACATATTCATATAAAAAAGTGCCAACAAAATCAAATTGAAATGCCATTTTCCGTGCTTTTAGTCTTCTGAGTTATGAATGTGAATGCACGTGTGCATAAAATCCGACGATTTGCAGCTGCTTTAGCGCTTCTTTCACGGCAGTAGCCGTGGGTTGAAGCGACCCATGAAGAGTATGATGCCCGTTGGATTGTGGCGCACGAAGTAGAGGAAAGGTTTGTCGAAGCGTAGTCGTGGCGCGTCGGGTACGCGTGCCTGCCGCGGACGCAGAGATAATGGCAACTCCAAATATTTCGGATCCAGAAGGTCATCGTAGAAGCCGCGACCGAGTGCAGAGTCATGCACCAGCGAGCCGAAGTCAATAACAGCTTCAGATGAGTCGTAGGCGCCATCATCATTAGCGCCCAAGTCCTTGTTGCGTTTGCGTAGCGGTGGTGCTGGATACATTTCGACGTGATGATGATCGGCGATTTTCTCCTCCCCACAAGTGCTGAAGGTGTTAATTTGTATGACGTCCGAAAGGTAAATGTCGCGATTCGAGGAGCCAGTAAGACCGCGCAAGTCTGCGAAATCAGATTTGAAAAGTCCCTTCAGACCCATTTTCTGCAAACCCAGTGAGGCATTCACGAACGATCTGTGCGAGAAACGTGGCAATTGCACCTCCATGCCAGGCCGGTCCATCAACGAGGTGAGTATATTACTCCAGGCGTTCTTGCTAATAGCTTGCTCCACGAGCTCACGTTCAAGCCGTTCCAAACTTTCCGCCGGCGAAAGTGTACTTTGGTGTCCGGGCATAACATAAACGGTGCTAACGGTATCTTGAATGCTGCCAAATGCCACAATTGTGGCATCCAACTTAGGCTCATAGCCAGCGGCGAAGCCGCTCTTGTACAAAACTGCTGGTATGGGTATGAGACGACGTTGGCGCACAGAAGGATGCACCTGGAAGAACATTTCGCCATCAGTCAATTGCGTAGAGCCGCGTCGGCAGTCTGTCTGGAAGAGATTAGCCGAAATGGTTGCCAGTGGGCCGTTAACCCAGAGACTATTTGTGCGCAAATACTCGAGCACTTTGCCCATTGTGTGCCGCTTAACGAGCAGATTCGTGCGACGGCGTATGACGTCGTTCACCACATGGAAATTCACTTCCTCTACGTGTCCCGAATAGAATTGTTGTGTCTTTTCCTTGAAGAATTGTAGTATTTTGCCATTTGCGCGATCGCTGAATATCTCGCGCACAAAGGCTGTTGTGGCAATGTCGCTATCAGTTGCGCGCTCCACAGAGTCGGTAATATTTCTGAATACCAAATGCGGATTAAAGGTGACCATATCATCCAATTTCAGCACCTCGTTCATTTCGCCTGATGTGCTGCCGCGTGCGCCGAGGAAGACCATTGATAACATGGAGGTTAGTGCGAACGGCGATATTACCAGACTGCGCGCGGAGCTAATCTTTTCCGATGTGATGGACTTCCAATAACTGAAGGCCAACTCATTGCAGAGTTTAACGAAAGACTGCAGATCTTCGTCCAAGTGCGTAACGGAGGCTTCGAGCCCCTTCGAGCTTGTGGGACTGGGGTCCATTTTGACAGGCGGTCGGGTTGCCTGCGTAGATGTGGCCATCAGGTTGTTCAGTTGTGCTGGACGCTGCATCGGACGTTGCTGGGCGGTGTTGGCTGAGTAGGCAGGATTTTAGTTGGCTCTATAGGTTTCGGCGCATTTATGCCAGTGTGCTTATTTAATACGAGACCGGTTTGAGTGTGTGTATGCGTTTGGTAGTCGTTGACGTAGATTTGGTGCATTAGTGGTCGAAGTGGTTGAACTGGTGGCCGTTGAAGACGGCACATTTCCCACGGGTGTTGAGAGCGCAGCAAGCACTGGGCTTGTGGGGAATTTGGGTATAATGTAAGTGGTTTGGTCACCTACATCTGCTGGGTTCTGCGGATCAGGACGATATTCATTGTTGAGTTGTGGCACTTGAGGTCGTTGTTGTGTAACAAAAGTTTGAATCGGATTTGTTGTTTGCTGAGTTGGAGCTTGTTCGGTTACATCGCTTTGCTCGATCGAATCTGGCGTGTTCGCCTCGTCCACAGATGTGTTTGTAATTGCATCTGCCTCTTTTGATGGCTGTGCTGCAACTACGTTTTCAGCAAACTGCGTTGGCTGGGATTCCTCTTCAGCCTCTTCGTTAGACTGCTGCACATCTTGCGTCGTTGACTCCGACACATCCACTTGTATCGGTTGTGGCAGCGTTGGTGACGTTGGCTCAATATCAGCGCCTTCAGTGCTTGTTGCCTCCTCTTCGGCGCTCATGACGTTGTCCGATACATCAACGTTGTTCAAGCTTTCAGTGTATTTTATAGTGGTCTCACCAAGTTTAATATAGGGATCTTCATCGGATTCTGTGCTGTCGATTTCATCAGATATCATTATCGTAACATCAGTAACGGTTTCATGTTCTGCGCTTTCATTTTCATGTTCTCAGCATTCTTTTCGTCGTGATAATCTCTTCGACCGGCAGCGCCGTAGTCACTTCAATTTCTGTTGCTACTTCACTGCTGGGTTCCTGTCTTTCATTTGATTCTGTTTGCTCAGCTGGTGGCAAGTTGGTGTAGTGGTGCTGTATATTGGCTGCGTTAGTTACATTATCGTCTTCATTGCTCATAGTTTCCTTGTCCTTTGAGTTGTCGGTTATATCGCGGAATCGGGTTTTATTCTAATATCGTGACTTTCCTCAGCGGTAATATCGATGTATGTGGAACTACTTTCGACAAGCTGTTCACTGGTATCCTTTTCTGTGGACCCGCCCTTTTCATTGAGATCTTCCGAATCAGTTGTAGCTTCGTTGTATTATTTTCGATTTGTCTTTTTCATCGCTCTCCTTTTCGCTGGCATGATTCGCACTTTCCACAGCGCCTTTATTACCCGATTCGCTAACATCTTCTTCAGTATCTTCCTTTCTAATATCGTCTTCTGCTAAACTACTTATCTGCGTCTTCTCAGTTTCGTTTGACATCTCCGTTGATTGGATTGTTGGCTTTTCAAATTTATTTTCTATTTCAGTTGCAATAGGCATTTCTTCTACTTGCTCAACTGTGCTTTGATCCTCAGCTAATTTCTGTACCTCTGTAAAAACTGCTGGTGTTGTTTCGTCTATTAAATTCTTCTCAGTTTGCGCAGTGAAGTCTTCTGTTGTTGCATTCAAACCTTCCTCTTCCTTTTCAGATTGACTTACTTCTTCACCACCATCGTTCTTTTCGCCATTCTTTTCACCATTCTTCTCCCTTTCTGCCTCGTTAATCTTAGCTATTTCCGTAATTATCACTTCGGCGCTTGTCATTTGTTCTTTCTTCTCTTCGTTGCTGGATTCGGCGCTCAATTGTTCTTCTAATATAATTGTCTCTGATTCTTTAAGTGGTTTCTTAGAAATTGAAACCTGTTGTATCGGTGTTTCTTCAGACTGTGGGTCTTCTTTGTCTTTTTGCGCTTGGTTTTCAGTTTCTTTAGTCTCGAATTCTTGTTGTTGTATGGCGTAAATATGCGACAAAGAGGGTATTTGCTCCTTCACTGCCGTAGTTTCATAATAAGTTTCCTCGGTTGTCCCCAGACCTTCATTATTTTGTGAATTTTCAAGCTTTTCTGCGAGATTATCTTGCACTTGGTCCTTCTCGGAACTACTCGATTCTATGTCTGTATTTTGCTCCACGCCTTCCGAGCTTTCCGATTGTGTTTCTACGGCATGTTCATTTTCTTCTTTGTTCAAACTTTCCGGTTGCATTTGAGAGTTTTGCTCCACTTCATCTTTTCCCACACTTTCCTCCTGATTTTCATTTTCCAGTTCGGTATCTTCTTTAGCTGAATTTTCTTTTGAAAGTTCGGCCTTGTTTTCCTTCTCTAGCTTATCTGTACTAGCTGGCTTGAAACTGGTATTCTGGTCCTCTGATTTAACGTCTTCCTGCGAAGCATATACCAAAACTTCTGTTGCGTTATCAGTCTCAGTCGTCAAGTTATAATCGGCTTCACTCACTGGTTCTGCCGCAGGCACTACTAAGGGCTCTACAACNCTCTAGCTTATCTGTACTAGCTGGCTTGAAACTGGTATTCTGGTCCTCTGCTTTAACGTCTTCCTGCGAAGCATATACCAAAACTTCTGTTGCGTTATCAGTCTCAGTCGTAAAGTTATAATCGGCTTCACTCACTGGTTCTGCCGCAGGCACTACTAAGGGCTCTACAATGGGCGCTTTTGCAGGCTCTTTGAGAGGTGGCGCATTCAGCGCGCTGCTTGTAATTTGCACACCTCCGTAGGCTGGTAAACCTTCCTCGTCCACATTGCTCTGCTGAATTGCCGTCTGCGCTGGTTTCAGTAAGAAGGATGAATTAAGTTGCGCAAAGTTTGTCAAACGGTTGCTATCCTCCACTGGGTCTGGACGATCTTCGTCTGGTTTATGTCCAGCCATTTGTTGTATAACATCGGATAAAAGGAAATCGATTTCACTGCGTGTCTCATTGGAGCTCATATCTACATTAGATGTAATTGTGTTGGTGCCATCCACCAGTGTTGAAGCCACGGTAGCCGCCTGCGTTTGGAAGTCAGACATATTTATTTGATCAATCGGTTTAAGTACTTCCATATTTAAATGCGGTTTTAGATCGGCTACCTGCGGTGGAGGTTCTGTAGATGAACTATCCTCTGCTATCATAGTCTCTACTTTTTGTGTAACCTTTACTATTGGTATGTGGTACTCAGTGCTACTATCCTCAATTGTTGGAGCAATACCATGCGCTGCTTGTACAACCACTTCGTCTACGACTTCCGCCACAGTTGTGTCCTCTAAGTCATCGGGCAATGCAGTTGTTATTTCGGTGACTATTGGCTCTTGTACGTCAGCATAAAGTGGCTCAAATTTAACAACATGTGACAAATCTTCACCGTTCTTATCGGTCTCCTGCTCTTCAAGTACCTCCAATTTGATAGGTTCGCTAGCACTTTGTTCTTTTTCTTCAATTGAATACTCTGAAACATTTGTGGTATCAGATACTTCCTGCTCGACTTGCTCCTCAGTGCTGCCAACCAATGTTGGCTGCACGGTTGTTTTCTTCGTTGTTTCTTCGGACGTCGCCGCCAATGTTGGCGGGCTTATTGTGGTAACTGATACGTCCTCAACTGTGGCCACATCTTCTTGCTCTACGCTAACGATGTGCACTGCATCATTTTTAACTTCCTTTTCTCCGTATGCCTCTTGGCTGCTGGTTGTTGAAGACTGAGCAGCTGAGGTTCCATCCATGGGCGCACTTACAGATGTGGCAGGTTCCTTAGTCGACTCTACTGCTACAGGTTTTTGTGTAACAGGCTGTGTTTCGGAAGCGCTTGACTCGTTTATATCAGCGTCGGCATTGTTCGAAAGTTCTTCCTTAAGAGACTCCATAATTTGATCGAAAGATGACAACGTATTTTGTTCGTCTAACGGAATTGGTTTGTCGGCTGGTTTGTGGTGCTGTTGTTGAATTTGTGCGAGTGATGGCAAAGGCTTGCGCTTGAATTGTCCATAATCAACCGGGTCAGACTCAACGGCGGTCTCATGCACCTCATGCTCTGTAGGTTTGTAGTCAGGCACTGGATACGCAGATACGCCAGGACGTTTATTGGCATGCGAAGGCTTGACTTGTATGGGATGGTAGCCAGGGAAATGCTCCACAACCAAAGCTTTTTCTGTGGTTGTTGTTGTAGTGCTTGTAGTGGGCGCTGGGGTAGTAGTGGTAGTGGTTGTTGTTGTCGTTGGTGCTGGCGTGGTCGTTGTCGTGGTGGTAGGCTCCGGTGTAGTCGTTGTAGTAGTACTGGTTGTGGTTGGTTCCGGTGTTGTTGTGGTCGTTGTTGAGCCAGCCGGTTTCTTGTGTGGCCGCGGTCGCGTTCTATTCGGTTTGTGGCTCACAGTGATATTGTGTTTATTGATAGTGGGTTCAGTCGTTGCGGGCGTAGTCACAGGTACATCGGCGGCTGGTTGGTGTTTGTTGGCTGTGTGCTGTGCACCGCCGTTACCGGCCTGTTGTGGCCTGTGTGTATTGTGTTGGCCAGCGCCAGTGGGACGTGGTTTGCCGTTAGCGGGTTTGCGCTTCTCTCCAGCTGGATGTGGCTTACCATTGCCATTGCCGTTGCCTTGACCTGGCTGTCGTGTTGGTTTCTTCTTTTTCTTTTTTGGTGTGGTAGAGCTTGGTTTGGCTGTGGTCGTGCTTGTTATCGGTTCAGGTGCTATAGTTGTTGGCGGCTCCGGTGTCGTTGTAGTTGTTGTTGTTGTTGTAGATGTTGTAGTAGGCTCGGTTGTAGTAGTAGTTGTTGTGGTGGTTGTCGGTTCGGGTTTCGGTGTTGTTGTGGTTGTCGTTGTTGCTATAGTCGGCTTCTTCTTTATCTTCTGCTTGTTGTGTCCACCTTGTGGTTTCTTGGTCGTACCCGAACCCTCACCGCCGTTCGGCGTTTTGTGGCGATTCGGCGCCACTGGTCGCTTATAGACCACAACAGGTGGGCGCTTGCCGTAGTTTTCATTCAGTTCGGCGTCATTTTCTGCCGACGTTGGACGTGCTGTGGCCACACTTTGAATTATTTCTTGATTGTTGACGAACACACGTCGAGTTGTTGTCTCTACTTGGGTATATTCAGGCAGTTTATGATAGATTGGTTGCATTTGCAATTGTGAAAATCCATCGAAGTGTTGCATATTCGCAGCGACATTTTGGTACTGTTGCATGCCAGTGTAGACAGACTCATTCGGGCCTAATTCCTCTTGCACAACTTGTGGCGTAATTGCGGTGGATGTTGTAGTAGGCGCCGGTGTTGTTGGCTTACGTTTTTGGCCCGGTTTACGTTTGTTCGGCTTCGGACGTTTCGTAGCATGCGTGGGGGGTGGAGAATTTGTTGAAGTCTCCAACAGCTCGGAATCGGGTGTCATAACAATTTGTTGAGGTTTCTGTTGTGGGAAAATATCACCGCCGCCATTACCGAATATGGCGGGTAAAATCATGGACCACGATGAGGTAACATCGGGCGTATCCAGTACAGGTAGTGCATCCTTGGACACATTTTTATTCGATTCCACTTCCTTGTTGAGTACGTTCTGTACACTATCGACTATATCCTGGACATTTTTCTCCGGTTCGCGGTCATCTGTGGACACGTGCTGTACAATAGATGAATTCTCACCATCTCCATTCGCCACAATACTCTGTATTTCCTCCATTGTCATGAGACGTTTCACCAGTTCACCATTCTCATCGAACGTGTAAAATTCGTAGCGATCGGGGTTGAGTAGATCGATGGGGCTGGCCACTTGTAGTGAAGGCTGTGGTTTTGGTACCTTGTGTCCCAGGGCATCAGTGTATTCTGGTTCATCACCATTGAGTATTACCGAGACGGACGTAACGACACTGGAAGGAAAAGATGAAAGTTAAATAGTTTTAGAAAAAAGGAAAAATACACAAAGTTCAAAATTGTCTGAATTTAAATCAACAATCAAATAATTGCATTCTATATTTCGCTGATTTAGTTAATAACCCTGAAAAACAAACTTTTCAAAGCCTCCAGCTTCCGTCAACAATTCACTTAGAACCCCAATCCATTAATATCAGGGACTGAAAATAAGCGCTAAATAACAAGGCTTGTATTTTTAAATCAGTGCAAAGTCGTCACTTTTTGATTTATTCTTCAATCAAAATTATTTACAATTTTCACGGAGCTTGAGGCCGTTTTAATAAAAAGAATTTATGAAAAACGACAATTTACATATTAAAAAAACAAAAAATAATAATTTCGTTTAAAAGTGGCCTCAAGCTCAACAAAAGTTAAAGCATATAGTTGTTACGAGGTATAAATTTATTTTTTTTGCCCGTTTTTAACAGTTATAATGAAAATAACAGGGACCGTAACAGTTACAACATTTATTAAAAAAAAAATCGCTCATTAACAATTATTTTTTTTTACTTTTATTTAATTACTACTTAAATAACGGATTTTGTTGTATAAGTCCAAAATAATAATTATTTTTGATTTTTATCTAAATAATAGCAAATAACAGTTATTTTTGATTTTTAAATTATATGTCTCAGATAACAGTTATCGAAAACTTTTATTTATAAAAGTCAAAAATAAATNTTGTAAATCACACTTATAAAAATCATTTGTAAAAGTCGTAGTAAAATTTCGTTTCCCAACACTTTCTTAATTGCGATAAATGTTAATGACTTTAATACGAATGATTTAAAAAATTAATGTCGGTGACTGATTTTTATAAATAAAAGTCTTCAGCGTTTGTTAAATATCTAAGACGTTTAATATAAAAAACAAAAATAATTGTTATTTTGGATTTATAATATACATATCAAAACTAAGTGTTATTTTTTTTTTAATTTTTTAATTTTGCATAAAATTGCAAACTAAAACTAGTCTCGGTGAAAACAAATCGATTGGTGAATTTAGCCATGACAGTTTTTTATCAGTAACTGTTATGTTCGGTCTCTGGAAAATAACGATTATTACTAATTTTTTTTATTGCTTTCGAAAAAATCAAAATGTAATTTTTTTAAATAACTTTGGGAATTTTTCAAATAGAATGTTCGTGTTATAGGCAATGGACGTTGGCATCAAATACAACATACATGTGAAGTTTCAAGAGTGGGCAACCAATTAAAAAAAAAATCTGTCGCCGCTATTTTGTAATTTTTGGAATTTTAAGATTTTTTAATCATAATGATTTAAGAAACTTTAAAATGTTAAAATTGAATGGCTAAAATTTTCTTCGTGCCAAAACAAACGAACATAAATTATTAAAACTTGTGTGCCACCAAAAGAAAACAAATTCATTGAGTAAAAGATGAGTACGATTTATGAAACTAAAATTCTATTTATACAATTTTTTATTTATATTGGCGCACTGGAAATTCATTCAAAAATTGTTATATATGTACATACATGAAGAAAGTAATATATATGTGCAAAAGGAATACTGTGTAAAACCTTCCACGGCAATATTTTGTTACTTTTAAATTGTATAAGTTTTAAGTTAAGGCGTGCGAGTAAATGTTGTAGCTGATGTGTAGGCTGTTACATTAAAAACTACGCGTTGTTATTTTTACTTTTTTGTTATATCCTTTTTAAGTTTTCATTTAAATACAAATTCGCGATGGAATATGCTGTTTTACGCAAAATGGAAGATAATGCATTGCCTAAGATAAGTGTGCCACCATTTTCGCCCAAAAACACGTTTTTGTCGAAAACTGTAACATCCCTTGAGATTTGATCATGTGCACTTCTCAATTGTCATTACACCTTTCCACAAAAAAATTTCACAAAATTTCAAAAATTCATATCATTCGCCCTCCACTCATCCGTTGCATACTTCCAATTGCTTATGACACAAAAGCAATAAATGTGGAAATTTGGCATGTAACAAATTGGAATCCAGCAAATGGTTAATACCGCTGCATCATTACACACTATTATACTGACTCTACACTAAGTCATGCATTTTTGCCTCAATGTATGTAAATGTGGGTAAATGCAAAGGCGATGGGGAAAGAAAACAAATTGTGTAGTACGAAAATCTCCAGCAATGCTGAGAAAAATGATTTTTATTGAATTTCTTGGCAGAATACACTCCATTTTAAGTTGCAGTTATTACTGCTGAATGCAAGCCAATGCAAGCCAATGTTTCCTTGTGAGCATGAGTTTGTTATGTCGGACCATTTTTTTTTTCTCCATGAATTGTGCTAACAAATTACTTGGTTAGCAAATAGTGAAACCTTAAATGTTGGGTATTGGATGATAAGTTAAAATCAATGCTAACAATGTTTGAGTGCATTAGTCAGATTTTAAGTTAACTACTATTTGAGTTGAGTTATGAGTTATTGAGTTCCATTGAAAAGCTATGATATTCGTCACATAGAAATATTTAAAAAGCGGGCAGCTCTGACAGGATATTTATCTCGCACATCACATTTTATCACCTGTGGTAGTACCGTTATTTCTTATGAATGTACTGTAAATACCACACACAAAGTATGCATTGCAATTTACGAAGGTTCTTGGTCCGACAAACGGTTGAAGCGTCAAATAATAATAAGAAGAAATTGACCGCATAAGCTTCTAATTCAATTGTCATTGGCTCGAGGGAACTAGGGCTCCTCCACAAAGAAAAGTAGTATGGTCTAAATCCCTTTAGCGGCCAGCGGACTGAATATCTGTCCAACGATCTTCCTTGTCATTTGGCGTCTGTTGGTACAGAAGAGAAACGACTGGCGTGCTGTTTTGGACTCGGATAAAATCGCTTAAGGGGTTACAGCGCCAATAAAGAAGAAGACCTTCTACAAAAAATTGCTTACAACAAAAAACATGTATCGCTTTCAAAACAATTCAAAATAAATTGCAGAGTTGAGACAGTGGTCATTTATGATAAGTTCAAAATCGAAAGATCAGGTTCATTCTTGGATGGTAACGAAATAGATATCTTTTGAGGCAGCCATGTAGCATAAAAACCCGCGCGTACCATTATTGAGGTCCGTAATGGACGTAGCCAATTTTCAAGTTATTACTATAAATAATCTACTTTACAGGGCACGCACTTCTTATTTTTCTAAATTAAAAGTTTGATTATCAACTGGTAATACTGCGATTTCGGTAAACTGGTCGCATTAGCTCATACTTTCTAGCATCCTAATCATAGCCCACTTTTTATCGCGCCAGGTTAGCAATCACGCATGTTAAAGCTCAGTCCATTAATATTATACATATAAAACAAATGAAAATCAAATCACGTTAATTCACTACCCATTAGATTTAATGAGAACTTCTTCGCCCCTAGGCTGGACTCTCCATATTTTTATATGTAAATTGAAATACCTTCACTAAGAATATACAAGACAAAGGTATTTTGCGCACAATACCAGGCCTACTAATATGCGGGTTCAATGGCTCCATCTGCTTTGGAAGATAATGACAGATAAAAATCCCAAACCGAGACGTCTGCTTGAATGGTTCATCTCAAGTGGATCACAGATATGTACACTGGTACACAGAGAGTGAAAAAATGGGGACCAGAGCAGGCGCGGTGTCTATGGACCTGAGTCCAAACTTTTCATTGCAATAGGCATTTGAAATGTTTGAAAAGCGAAAGGTTCAAAACTACCCTTTCAGGCGGGAGCTAATGGTTTAAAATGTTGTACAAAAATATCTCCCATGAAATTTTACTGTATATGTCTTAACCGCTAATTTCGACCAGACATTTATTTTAACCATTTTTTCCACTTTTCATTCCCAAAGTGGTCCCCGGGGGGGTCCACCGGAGACTCTACGGGGATCTAGGTTGACGTTAAAAAATGTGGGGGTCCACGAGTTGTTAGTGGAGGTCCACGAAAATGTATGGTTGCTTGATAGCCGCTTTATTTAACTTAAATNTGGTGTTTAGTGCTCTTGACGCACTGCTGCACTTACCGTCACTTTGTGTCTTCATACGTAGGGAAACCTTAAATACCACCTGCTGACTAAAAAGAAACCGATGTAGGTATAACACTGAGTGAGGCGAGACGGAATTGATGGCAGGATCTGGGATCTCTTTCGAAGTTAATGGGGATAAAATTTACTTTTCTCTTATGGAATATGCTTCGGTCTTCTAGTAGAAGTATTTGCAACCCTCAAAGCTATAGACTACGTGGAGGGGAAGGAGTTTACTTGTCTACAATGACAGCCAAGCTGCACTTAAGGCATTGGCCAGCCCTATATTTAACTAC